AGTTGATTGTCCTTTGCATGTTGCTTTTTCATAGTGCTTAGCTTCATTCTCTACTCGCATGTTGTCTCTTCTGTTTCAATGACTGTCATTGCTACTTTGTGCTCTGCTCTTAATTTATTCGATGTTTTGATTGTGTCTTATTAAATGGCTGCCTGTTTCAATGACTGTCATTGCTACTTTGTGCTCTGCTCTTAATTTATTCGATGTTTTGATTGTGTCTTATTAAATGGCTGCTTTTCTAAGTGCTTTTTCCCGCTTCTTTGTTCATCAGTTTGTATTTAGTCCTTGATCGTTTGCTTATTTATAGCACTTTTTCATTTTGCACTTTTTATATACATTTCAAAGTTTTTCATTATTTTTTTTTTAGACTTGTTCCCACTCACTCATTAATCCATCTTTCTACATCCGCCCACTTGCACTTTTGTTTTCCATTCAACACAGTTTATGTATCCCTTTGTTGCTACCACGCACAATTAGATTATTTAAAACTAAAGCATGGCCCAGAAATATAGTGTAGATTCTCTGTATATCATGATTTGTATTGAAATGTCTCTGTCCTGCAAATTGCAGATCGGTAATGGAGAGAAGCTTATAAACGTAGTCTTACTAAATGGAGAAAGACTTAACGTCCGGGTCCCGGTGAGTTCATAACTGGTCATACATTCTATGAAGGGCGTGGCACAACACGTGGCCGTCTACAACCTTGATTCATTTCTTTTGTCTTTCAGACCGGGGCTACTGGACAAGACTTGTACAATACGATTTCAGAGCATCTCGGCCTTGCGGAAACGATCTTTTTTGGTCTTATGATAATAAAAGGTAATGTCATTTGCAAGTATATATGTAAAGCGAAGCATATGCTAGCAATGAGAGACTTATTTTAATGTAAATTCGGTAAAAACAAGGTTATCTGTTGTTTTGCAGATGGCGAACATGAATTCTTAGACCTCAACGATAAATTGTCCAAATTAGCAAAATATGCGCCACATCTTTGGAAAGATGACGTAAGTATTTTTGGTCAGGATGACACTATAATCCCACAGCTCAGAGTGACGTCACAGAAAGCAAACCGCTAGGACGTACACTTGTTTTTGCAGCTGTGTCATTAAATGACTTGACTTTAGTTCGTGTTAAATGCTAGGGTTAGCGTTTTCGCTCTAAAAAAATGATTAATTTGAATTTGAATCAAATTTGCAGGTATCTTGTAATTCCTCGCTGGTTTTCACAATCTTCTTCCGTGTCAAATACTACGTAGAAAATATTTGTTTATTGCAGTAAGTATATTTRCACTTCAAATTTTTAGGCGGGAAGCCTTTTAAGACCTGCGTGCAGCCTAACCAAAACTGTCGTTAGGTCAGTTTGCGATCAGCGACAAAAATCGTGTTCCCCAGCGATGTAGCGGGATATATGTACTTCGCTCTTATTGGCTGTTTAGTTTTGAATTCTAACAAACGCAG